CCGGCCGGCTGGCGGGGGAGGAGGCCTGCTCACCTGGGCCCGCGCTGCTCCGCCGGCGGCGTCCGGCCCCGCCCCGGTCCCGCCTCCTTGCGTACAACTCCGCCCCATGCCCTCTGCCCTCCCCCAGGCCCTGGGTCAGGCCCCCAAGTCCACTTATCCGCCCCTATGTCCGCTGCCAGGCCTCAAGCTCTCGGCCCCGCCCCTATGTCATCCGCCCCGCCTCCAAGATTCAGTCCTGCTCTCCTCCCGCTCGACTACCCTCCCAGATCACTCCAGCCTTCAAGACCTCTCCAGGCTCAAGCATCCCAACCCACCTGTCTTTCTGACTCTGTACCCACCATGATCCTCTGAGTTCTAGGCCAGCCCAGCAAGCTCCAAGACACCCATTTACAAAGCCTGGCCGCTACCAATCCTTCAGCCCCACCAAGTCCACGTCCTCAAGGTCCTATCCCTTCATCCCCCCCAGCACCACCCTCTGTAACCCGTGCCCACCTTCTTCCTCATAGCCAGGACCCTGCATCCTTCCTCATCTAGCCTTGGACCTCAGTTTCGTTCCGGGCACTTGTTTAGGGTGCACCCCCTTTGATACCACGCCTGAGCACCCCTAGGTTCCACAGTCCCATCCTCAGCTGTGCCCTCACTGCCCAGGCCTTCGCCGGCCCTTGGCTCTCCATGCTCCCAACCTGGTCCCCAGAACACCTCAGCCAGCCTCCCACCCCAGTTTCATAGACTCCTTTCCCAAGGGCAAGGGCGGTATTCCCCGTCTTCCATCACCCCTTTCCATGCCCAGGTCTCTATCCTGACCCTAACCTCCAACCCATCCCAACGTGAGGCCCTCAATCTCAGCCCACCAAGGGGACCCAACAGCTGGCATTCAAAATGACCACAAGGAGAGCAGACCCTACCCAGACTGTACCCTTTGTCCCCAACTCCTTGTTACCCTAAATGCTTCTCCTTGGCCCATCTAGTCCCTGGGATCCCATGGACACAACAGGCACCAGGGAGCCCATTCGCTTTCCTCAGTCTCCCACAAGCTCACAGTCAGGGTTGGCAGCTATCCAACCTAGGCCTGCCCAAGAGCCCTTCTGCCCGCCAGGGTTCCTGTCACCTGTCTCCAGGGCCACTGGGTAAGAGGGGTCTGCTGTCTCTGAACCCTGGTCAGAGACTCGGGCCCCAGTGTCATCCCTCATATACTGACACCAACCCCATGGACTGCTTGCCAGCATCCCAGCCATGCAGTAACCAGGCAGGCGCCCACTCCAGCTCCGCTCCTGGGGGTCCTCAGTCTCTTCAGTGAAACTCAGATTGCCCTAGTTTCCCTTTCCCAGCAAGGTCGGATGGAGCACTGTCTCAGGTTCTAAAACAGGGGCCCACATGAAGGCCTCAAGCTTTCACCTCCTGACCGCATCACCTGGCTGGGGACCCTGTGCAGAGGGACAGTGGGAGAGGGGGAGTATTTATTCTGCCCCTGCCCAGGAACTGGGACTCCTTTGTCTATCTCAGGAGTCTTACTCCTACTCCCTAGTTAAAGAAGCCATCTGAGTCCCAAGAAGGGATGAGGTACATATGGCTGCACTGAGGTTGGTGCCAGACCCAGACATCAAATCTGCGGCTCCCAGATCTGGGTACATCTCAAGAACTCCCCAAGAATCTCACCATGTGTGTTTCAGGGAAGCCTGCTGGCCACCATATTGGATGCCCACAGAAGCGTTCTGCTGAACCACAGCCCCAGAGTCTCCAGGCATCTCCTTGGACTAGGCCTTGGGCACACTGTCCCTTTCTTCCATTGGTGGCTTGGCAAGGAGGCTCCCCTGCTATGGCAGCTGCTCAGCATGGGCACTCAAGTGTGAGCTCCAATCCCAACTCACCCATATGTTTGCAGCAATCCCACACCCAAGCAGACTGTTTGTCTCTCATCTACCAAGTGGCAGTAATTATACGTACCTCCCTACAGGACTATGGGGAAGGTGGGGTTGCACAAGTGCTAGGTGTCATATTCTTGCAGCTATTGGGCATGATCAAGCATTTCCCAACCTTTCCTGGGTCAGGTCTGGATTTACAAGCTGGACTGATGTGGAAGAGGAGCAGGGCTTTGTGGGTAGCTCTGCACAAGACAGGTGGCTCTGGCTGAGCTCCACGTGGGCCGTGTGCCCTTTGCAGAGACCCTGACCCTAACAAGAAAGGATCGAGATCGGGATGCGCTCCGGAGCTGGAGGTGGGCGCTGGGACATTGGCAACTCCATGTGGAGACCCAGGACTGGCGGATCTGGGTGTTCTGGTTACCATAGTGCCGGAGTGGCCCTGGAAGTCCCAGAGGTGGATGAGATCTTCAAGGAGAATAGTGAGAGGGAGGCTTAGGATCAGGCTGTGGAAGGAGCACTCAGGAAGGACAAAGGAAAATGGAGTATTGTGGGGACCCATGGCACACAGAACAGGCAGCACCAGGGAGGCACTGGAGGCAGGAGCCCCAGAGCCAATTGAGGGAAAATGCAGAGGCAATGTGGGGTGCATAGCCATGGGGGGTGGGGTACAGAAATATCACTTGGGAAGGGAAAATAGGCCAAGAGAGGCATGTTGTGGGTTTAGTTGATTTGCTGTTTTCTATTGCTTTCCAATAAGCTGCATCTTACCTTGCTTTCAAGCAAGAAAAAAAACTCTATCACACAGAGGGAGAGTGGGGAGACTGCAGGAGCCCAGAAGGGAAACTGAGGCTGGGAGGCCAGCCTTGATTCTTCAAGACAGGACCAGGGGCTCCAGACCCCATAGCAGGGGCTGTGCCAGGGTCTCACCCCATCACCACCAGGAAAGGAAGGATTCCTAGCCTTCATCCAAATGCCTCTCTAGGGGTGCCGCTGCCACACTGAGGCCACACACAATGGCACAGTTTTGCAGAAGGGAGGATGGAGGCTGAGTGGCCGGAAACAGACATCACCGCATTGTGCCAAATGGAGCGTATTTGACAGCTGAGAAAACGGACCCAGGAGAGGTGAAGGATGGGAATTCAGGAATGGAATCACTGCTAACATAAGGTCCCTCATGGGCTGAGATCCAGAGTGGATTAAATAGGGGGGAGGGGAAGGTGGCTTTTTATGTAACAGTGGACGAGAAGAAACGATGAGGTAGCTCCAGGAGAGGACAGTCTCTCTCCTCTTAGGCAGCCCTACTCTAAATTCATGTCCTCGCCTCTTGGGATCCAAAATATGCACAAATTTAAATTTAAATCTTGTTCACCATGCTTGAAGATCCTGGGTCAGGAAAGAGCACTTCAGTTCTCCAGCCAGTGTCATCCACTCTTTCCAGGGGTGGGGACAAGGCACTGTGATCAACAAACCCACCAGGGCCACTGAGAGCAAGGAACAATTGTTCCCCGGAAAAAGAGCAAGTTGCAGTTGCCAGTAACAGCAAGTGAAACCAAGCTGGCCAAAGCACAGATGATTCCTGGGGATGGCATCCATGGCAAGAGAGACGCCGAGAGCTGGAATGGGTCAGTGTATCAGCAGTGGTGAAGGAAGAAAGAGCTTTGACTGAAGTGAATTGTGTCTGATTTTCTGACAAAGGTATCCCTAGAGTACAGGAGCCATCTCCCCTAGTCATGAGCACCATGGATGAAAAGGCTGTGCTTTCTGACAAGAAGACATGGGCTTCCCAGGACCTGGTATGTAATACATGCTGGGTGGATGGATGGATAGATGGATGGATGGATGGATAGATGGATGGATGGATGGATGGATGGATGGATGGATGGATGGATAGATGGATGGATGGATGGATGGTTGGATGGATAGGCAGATGGGCAGATGAATGTATGAGTGAGTGAATGAATGGGTAGGTGAGTGGATGAACAGTGGGATGAGTCAGTGTGTGGATGGATGGATGGATGGATGGATGGATGGATGGATGGATGGATGAACAGTTCTATGGATGGGTGGGTGGGTGAGTGGATGGACAGGTGAGTGGGTGGATGAGTGGATGGTTGGGTGGATGGATGGATGGATGCAGAGTCTGTGGATGGGTGGGTGGGTGAGTGGATGGACAGGTGACAGGGTGGATAGGTGGGTGGTTGGATGGATGCATGGAATGAATGGGTAGATAAATGAATAGTAGCTTCTTTAGGAATACTCATGACCACCCCAGTTAAATTCCACACACATCTTCTTGAACCCCCTACAAGTGCCAGGCCTAGACTGTAAGCTGGCAGAGTAGACTGAATCAGAGGTATCTTGTGGCCAAGGCCTGTGTGATGGGGGCTTTAGGCAAGGTGATGACAGATGCACTAAAGGACAACTAGGTCACAGTGGTGGAAGAAAACAGGACAGTCACATGCAAGAGAGCCCTACAGTAGATACCTGGTGCTTTTCAGCTCCTCACAAGCCATCCCTCCATTTCATACAATGATCAAGCACCCAAAGACAGCCTGTTAAATGTCCCCCAGTACATACTGTCCCCAAGAACAAGACTGTCCAGGATACTGACCACATCCTCGGGCACCATTCTGTAGAGTTCTGACTGGTAAGGCATTAGCAAAAATGATGTACCCAATGTCTTGGTCTCACCCTTTGGAAGGAATGTGCCTTGCCTCTATCCCTCTGCCCAAGTGGGAATGAAATCATGATATTAAGTCAGGTTTTGCCATTCAGACAAGGACAAGGACCTACCAGCAGTGGACTGTTATGGCCAGATTTTACATGAAAGAGAAATCAATGTACTTTGTTTCCCCCCCACCCTTACTGTGGATTGTACTCAAAGCCTATGTACTGAGCTACACTCCAACCCTTTTTATCTTTTATTTGAGACAAAGTCTTGCTAAATTGCCTACGCTGACCTTGAACTTGTGATCTTCCTGCCTCAGCCTGCTAAGTAGCTGGGATTACAGGTATGTGGCACCCTTTCCAGCTTCCTCTATCCTATTTAATTCACAATTTAAGGTGAGGGTTCTCTTAGAGATGGAAAGTCTGTAAACTAATTAATACAGAATTTTATACCTGGAAGAAGTACAAAAACTCCCACAGGTAACAAAAGTAGAAATATGTCTTAAATATACACATGTAGCAGGTTGGGAAGCTAGAGACTCTCTTATGCCAGGCCATAGCAGATGATAAACTGACTTTCATGACACCCTGCACAGTGAGGGCAATGGCTAAAGACTTTAGCATGTTGGCATTTGCTGGGTGCTCCTTGCCTCACTCCACCAAGCCCTACATGCAGTAGGAGAACGTCAGCCGAGCAGTCCAGTAGCAGGCAGAGACTGAAAGGAGAAGCTATTGCCTCTGGGCTGCAGCCCAAGTCCGGCAGCTTTTCAAGGTTGAAAAATCTGCGTGTTCTTTACTGCAGGCTGAGGCAGGTTCAGCAGAAGTTTCTGTGGAAGTTGTGTTAGCAGGAGACAAGAGTGTGAAGCCAGCCTTTGCAGGCATCTAGGTTCTCATCCTGTCGTGGTCAGTTCAGCAGCAAAGACCAGCCCAAGATGTTCTTTCTGATCCAAGGAGAGCACTTTGCCTGATGCCAAGTTGGCAGAGAGGTGAATGCATAAACACACAGGCTGAGAGATGAAAGACCACAGTTTTTACAAATACCGTTAGTGCCAGTGAGACTAAGTAGAAGCAAGTAGGCAGAAAACCAACCAAGACTTTGAGGGACACAAGTTACCAAAGACCCCACACACACACACACACACACAGGCCTATACAACCAGCTCTGGCCTCTAAGCTTGCACCACCAACAGGCTGTTAAACCTGCACAACCCAAACAGGGGTACAACTTCCAATACCCACTTCAGGGAACCATGATGGAGCCACAGGCCCAAAGAAGTCTACTCCTAGGAACAGCGGAGAGAGGAGCTGTCATCAAGCAATCCACTCGAATGCCCAGAACCCAGTTTGTGCTGCCGGACCTGAGAGCTCCCACTTTTCCCTCTGCCGTGGTTCCCAGCATGGCTACCCTATGCCTGCCAGCATCTGCATCCTGGGTGTGATGAGGTGGGTCACTGTGTGCAAATGGGTCAGTTCTTACCTCAAGGAGCCACATGCAGACTTGAGGCACAGACCCTGGATGCCGCCCTGGTCGGAGCTGTGGCGTTGTCTCCCCAGGGAGAGAGCAATCTGTGCTCCAGAGGGGCAGGACACACAGACAGTTGGCTGGCAAAAGAGACAGATGAGCTGAGGCTGCTCACTGACCTAAATTGCTTTTGTGTCTTTCTGTGTTTAAAGAATCCTGGCTTCTCTCTGGGGATGCGGAAATCAGAAAGGGAGAAGGGGAAAGACTATATTTGTACATCTCCCTGAAGCTATGTTTAGTGGGGGAGCTGATGCCTTTAGCCCCCATTCCTGCACTTTCCCACTTCCCTGGCTTGAAGAGAAGATGCTGAAACATCTCACAATACACAGGAAGAACATGAGGATAGGGAAGCAACAGAACTAGAAGGAACCTGGGCTCCTGGCCTACTTACCTGCACACAGGTGAGAAAGCAAACTCTCTCTTGCTTATGCCAGTCTCGCCTGAAGTCTCTCTCCCAGCAGCTCCACCTATATTCTGAGGATTACTCACCTTAGCTCTCCTCTCCTGTCCTCTCCACCCTGGGGCTCTAGGGCAGGTCCCCTACAGCATCACGTGATGAGACCTGAGCCAGTCTCTGACCACAGAACTTGTTCGGGATAAGCGTGTGTCCCACTTCCAACCAATGATGTGCAAGAAGCTTGCTCTGGGGTTCAGAGAAAGACATTCATGACAGTCCCCATGAGGATGTGGGGACTGAAACTGCTGCCACCACCTTGCACAAAGCCCCAAATGGGGAAATCCCAGAGGAAGGCAAAGTGACTCTTCACAGAGAACCAAGGTCCCACCTGCCCAAGCCCATCCCTGGGGCCTTGAATCCAGGGCAGAAGAGGCAGGCTGGTCTCTTCTCTTGATACCTCAATTAAAGGAAACAATACACTTCATTTCCTCTTAGCATAAGCTAGTTTGGGCTGGATATCTGTTTCTTGCTGCCAAAAGTGGTCTCAGTCCTAAAATTGTCGCCAGACTCTGGGAGGATTGTGGAGGAGTGGCGAAAGAGGGTAAATCTGAGACCACTGGAGGCTTGTTTAGGGGGAAATAAATTTGTCATAAGGATGCATGCAGACCTGAGCCAGAACTGGCAAGTTCTCAGGAGTGGGCAAGAAATCTCCAGAAATCTCCTTTGCCCCATTTCTGCCTTTCTGAAGCTGCCTGGACCAGCTCTCTCCAGCCTGGCTCTTTTGGCCAACTAGCGCCCTCTACTGACAAAGAATTCCTGTCGCTTTGAAACCTTGAATGGCCACCAGCTCAGCTCCACCTGTTGTCATGTTCACAAGACTTTCAACCCCCAGATCAAAAGAAGAGGCATCGAGAGGCAGAGTCATGTCTATGATGGTCTCTGCACCTGGATCAGGACCCCCTTTCGGTCCAGCAGTCACGTGGTCTCAACATGGCTTCGACCTCTGGTCAGGCTGTGGCATGGCCCACACCACTACTGACCTGCCCTATATGCTTACACAGAATATTACATTAGCCAGTGCTTTTGATTTCAAGAGGCAGAAACCCAACTCGGACTGGCTTCAGCACCAAGGAACCTTCTCTGTAAGTCAAGAGTCCAGGGCAGTTTAATTCAGCTAGAGCCATCCTTGAATGTCACTGGAACCATGCACATCTCCACACAGGCTCTCCCTACAGAGTGGCTCTCAGCAACTCCTAGATTAGGTCTTCACAGCTCTAAGTTCCAGAAAAAAAGCAATAGTTCTCTGAAGAAAGGTTTTGAAGAGGACATTAGAAAATGGAAAGACATCCCCTGTTCGTGCACAGACAACATCAATATCATCAAAATAGCCATATTAGCAAAAATGATATATAGATTTAATGCAATTCCTATAAAAATACCAAGACCATCCTTCACAGAACTAGAAAAAAATCTTAAAATATATATGGAACCAGAAAATACCCAGAATAGCTAAACCAATGCTGAGCAAAAGGGGCAGAGCAGAAGGCATCACAATACCAGATTTCAAGTCATACTATGAAGCTGCAGTAATAAAACAGCATTGTACTGACACAAAAACAGACACATCAATCAACTGCATAGAACAGAAAACATAGAAACAACTCTATGCACGTTTAGCCACATTTAGTCTGATTTTTGACAAATTAGTCAAAAACAAACACTAGAGAAAAGATACCCTCTTTAATAAGTGGTGCTAGGAAAGCTGGTTATCCATGTGCAGAAGAATAAAACTAGACCCATCTCTTACCCTTTACTAAAATCAAATAAAAATGGATCACAGACCGAGATATAAAAACAGAAACACTGAAACTGCTAGAAGATAAAACAGGGAAAACACTTGAAGACATAGTGATGGGTAAGGACTTCCTGTGCAGAATTCCAAAGCACAAAAAATAATCCCAAGAGTCAACAAATGTGATTATATTAAATTTAAAAGCTTCTGCACAGCAAAGAAAACAATCAACAGACTAAAGAGACAACCTACAAAATGAGGTAAAAAAACTTGCCAGCAGAGATATAGCTCAGTGGCATAAGCACCTGCCTGGAAAAAACTTGCCAGCTACTCTTCTGATAGAGGACTAATATTTAGGATATATAAAGAACTAAAAAATTTAGACCACCCAAAATGACCCAGTCAAAAAATGAGCAAATAAAATGAATAGACACTTCTCAAAGGGAGTATAAGTGGCCAATAAATACATGAAAAAAATCAGCATCTTTAGCTTAAAGGAAATGCAAGTGAAAACTACTCTGAGATTCTATCTTGCCCCGGTCAGAATGCACACATAAGCACATTCACACACCCACATGTGCACACACACACATGCATGAATGCACAAGTGTGTGCTCTTGTTCTGGCAAGAATATGGGGAGAAAGGAACCTTTTGTACATTATTGGTGTGAATGTAAACAGGCACAACTGCTATGGAAGTCAATATGGAGACTCTCTTAAAATCTAAAAACAGAAATTTAATTTGACCCAGCTATACCTCTCCTGTGTATATTCCCAAAAGTATCAAAGGACATCATACTATAGTGACACATGTATTCATGTCTATAGCAGCACAATTCACAATAGCTGAACTATGGAAACAACCTAGATACCCATCAACAGACAAATGGATAGAGAAAATGTGGTACACAATGTAGTAGCATTCTACCACAGAGAAGTGAGCCTACTCAGGTCATTTGTAGGAAAATGAATGGCTCTTGCGACCATCCATTAAATGAAATAAGCCAGACACAGAAAATTAAATATTCCATGGTTTCTTTTATATAGGAAACCCAAAACATAAGTAAGTTAAAGTAATGGAGAGATGGTAGGAAACAGGGAGAGAGAGAAAGGAATCTGAGAAGAGGGAGAGGGAAAGACAGGGAGGAAGGGAAACAAAAACAATCATGATATGATACATATGTTGTACCTGTCCCCCAAAATGAATTTAATTATTGTGTATCACAAACACATAACAGTAAAAGATTTTTAAAATAAGTCCATAAAGGACTGTAAGGAGCTGAGAGCAACGCCAAGTTATTGTACTAGCCATTATTATTCTAACAGATGCCCACAAATTCTAGGTTCAAGTCAGCAAACTAAGGTGGGCCACTGTCCACCTCTTAACCAATCACTGTGGTATGTGACACTGTGGCTGGCTGGGTCTGCATTAAGCTGTGGAGTTGGAGAAAAGTAAGCCTAATCAATAAAGGCCTGAGAGTAGAGGGACACATACAGGTTTGTCACCAGAACCAGCCTGTTACTTTCAATCCCGCAGTTGAATCTGGCGCTGTATGCAGGACCCATCAGAAAAGTATTACTATTTTCAATCCTTCATCTGATAGCCAAGTGAGTCTTTCAACAGCGCAGTTTAAATCTGGCACCAGAACAAATGAGTTTTTGATAGGAGAACTGTCCAATGTCTTATTTGCATGAGGGAGAAGCCAATCCAAGAATTTCGGCACAAAAGACACCTTTTCCCTTATCCTCAGGGCTGCTATGAATCTGTTCACTGGCCTCCTCTGGCCCTGTAGAGCATTGCGCTTTCCCCGCTTCAATAAATATATACCCTTGATGCCTTCTCTGTGTGTCTTGTCCAGTTCTTTGTTCAAGATACCAAGGACCTGGAAAGAATCCCTCAGGACCCTCCATCCAGGAACATCCTGTGACCAGGATCTTAGATCAGGGTAAGAGATGACCACTGCTATTATGTGGATGTGGTTTCTCCCGCAAAGGCTCATGGACTGCAAGCTTGTCCCAGTGTGGGGCCTTAAAGGGCTGGGGCTTGCTGGAATTAGGTCATGAGGACCACCCTGTCATGAACAGCTTGAGGCTATCTTTCAGGATTGGGTCAGGCCATCTATGACTGGATTCAGTCTTCAGAAAGTGAGTTGTGATAAGCAAGGTCACCCCATGTGTGGTCCCCCTTCCACTCATCCGCCATGTTGCCACACAGCCACGGAGCCTTTGCCAGGGTGTGGACACCATGCTGCGTAGCCTCCCAGCAACCAGAATCACAAGCCAAGCCAGGTGAAGGCTAAAGGCAATTCTCTGTCACACCCAGGGCTACTCTCCAGCCCCAAATGGCACATCTGGGCCCTGAGATTGACAAGTCCGTGACACACTGTTAGAGGAAGGGCAGCTGCTTCTCACCCAGACCCAGCTCGTTCTGTCCATCCTCTGCATTTTCCATCATCCCAAGTCAGAAGTTATGATTGCCTGTGCTCATCAACCACCTGCCCCTCTGGCTCTAGACCGCAGGGGACAGAGAGCAAGCTCTGAAAGAGTCCTGGGGCAGCCGACACTCCCTGGGGTCTAGTCACACTCAAGCCCTTATCAGAGAAATGTGGCAAACACTGCCCCCACACTCTCAGCCTTCTCTCTCCCTGTGGGCTGGTTGTCCAGCTGGATCTCTGCCACCTTGTAAAATCTGCATCTCCATCTGTCACCACTCTTTGGAGTTTTACAGTTAACTCCTTAGTGTCTCAGGAACACTGTCTTTGTAACATCTTGATAAGCAACATCTTTCCCAGCAACCCCTGGGAGGATGTTCTCACATGTGCCAGTGCGGTGGGGGAGGCTGATGGGCAGGGAGAGGAAGAAGGAAAAGCAGGGCAGGAGAACAGAAAACACCTCCAAAAGCAGCAATGTGCCCACGACTGAGCCTTGATCTCCCTCTTGGCACCCTGGGAGGCTCTCCATAAAATGGGGTACATTCAGAGCCAGCATGGAGTGTGGACAAGGAGGGTCCAGTGGGGAGCCACTGCCTCCAAGCTCCTCAAAAGAAGAAGCTTATGTTAGCTTTACATCACTATGACAAAATGCCTGGTATAAGAGACCAACAATTTATAAGAGGGAAATATTTGGTTTGGCTCATGCAGAGGTTTCTGTCCATAGTTGTGTCCACTGTTTTGGGGCCTGGGGCAAAGGAGAACATCATGGTAGAACATCAGAGCTGCTCACTTCATGGTGGCCAGGAAGCAAGGAAAGAAACAGGAAGGGGCAGGGCCCCAGTATCTCCTTCAGGGGCACAGCCCTAGTGACTTCACTTCCTTCTCTTAGACCCCACCTCTTAAAGGTCCCACTACCTCTGAATTGGGCTACAGGCTGGGGACCAAGCCTTGGACACATGGGCCTTTGGAGAACATTTAGGATCCAAACATAACAAGGCTGTAGGAAATTAAGCTTGAGGCCCTTGTAGCAGAATCAGAGAAAAGACTGGGAGGCTGGTGGGGGAACCCTTCCCCCACTCACAGGTGATGAGTGAGGTGACCAGGGTGGACTTTGCGTAACTGTGAGAAACACAGTCTTATACACATCTTGGCATAGTCTTTATCCTGCTCAGGCCCCTCTGTTCCTAAGCAATGAGAGATGACACTTCCTTCCATAGGGTTTGCTCCTTAAGGTAAATTTAAGGTGGGCTTTCTTATGAATTATCACTGTGCTGAATTATTAACCACATGCAGACATTTGCAGGCCTTTAAACTCTTGGGTTTCCTGCAACCCTTGTTGGGAATGCTTGTGCCAGTGAAAATATGATTCCTTTTGGCAACAGAAGAGAGAGACCATGTTTATTTTCCTTCCCAGGCTTCCCAGCTCCAGAAACCCAGAAGGAGCAAGATCCGGAAACAGGAAGCAAGGTCAGGTCTGCAGCCAGCTGAGTGGTGCTTCTATTATGTGGTGCCAGCCCCAGGTCAGCCTGATCTCAGAGCCTCTGAGGGACAGAGCTGGAGGGAAACCAAGTAGAGTGCCTGTTCTTGGGGCCTGGCCTGGTTCTTGGGCCTGGCCTGGCCTGGCCTGGGGCCTCGGCCTTGGGCATCTCCATAGGAAATGGTCTCATGTGGCCCACATGGGGAAGAGAGGCCGAGGGGCCAGGGGTCACCTCTGTGTCCACCGCTTACCTGGCAGGCCACGAACCCTCCTTGATGTCCTCAACTGAGGATGTTATCCTGACCCTGCAGGGCTGGCATGAGGTCCAAGGAACAGGGGACATCCAGCCTGCATCACAGTGCTGTGTAGAACATCAGAAGCCCAAGAAAGGCAAATTCTCTCTTGCCACCTGCCATGACTTCCGGTGGAGTGAGGCTCAGCACACAGACGCCAGCTGGACATGGAGGGGCTTGTAAAGACAGAAGCACAAATGCCAGCCCAGCAGCCCATGTCCATGACCAGGACAAGGAGCTCCTGGCAGGCCAGACAGCACCTCCAGGAAGAGGCATAAAAAGAGTTAGAAGCTGACAGTCTGGAGTCAGAGGCTATATTCTCTGACCAGCTTCCCACAGCCGTGGAAGGAGAAGCACTGTATGTGTGTGTGTGTGTGTGTGTGTGTGTGTGTGTGTGTGTATGTGTGTGCCTGATACAGGCTTTTCTCTCCCCAGCCCCTTTTGCCAAACGCTCTGAGTCCACACGTTCACCTCTTGCCCACTTGTTTCCCTACTGCTGGACAGGCCACCGGATATGCCGTTTGTGGTGACCCCTTCCCTCCAAGCCTGAGACTGGGTGCCCCTGCATAGCAGAGCAGGGGCTCAGGCCCAGCAGGACCTCTGCCCAACTCCAGACCTCCTGTGCCATGCTTCAGGGAATAGCAATGGTGAGGGTTCCCTCTGCCAGACAGGCCCAGGGCTAAGAGACCTATTGATCCACCTGCTTTCCAGCCCATGAGATCTGGCACCTGTGTGGTCTTGAAGTTTTACCTCACCCCCTCTGGGGGAAGCAAGTACCACCCTCATCTTACATACTGGCAAACTGAGGCAGAGCACAATGGGAATTAGAACTCAGGCCTGCCCATATGTGGCACATTTGCTGGGTCCTGCAGAGGGATGGGTTGGCCGACGGAGAGGGGGGCGTGCCTTTTTGCTCAGAAGACCTCCCAAGATCTCCCAGGAATGAGCCAGTCATCAGCATGGCCCTTCTAACTGGGAGAGGAAGGAAGAGGCAATCACTGAGGTCTTATCACTGAGTCATTTTCCAGGCCCCAAGAAAAGGGCACTGAGTGCCTGGAAGCAGCCCGGGGCCTGCAGGGACAGGTGTGTGGGGTGGGGCTGAAGGAATGCTCTGGACTCTGCAAGACCCTCTTCCTGTCCCTGCAACACTTGTGGCTCAGAAGGCTCAGTGTGGAAAGGAGAGCAGGGCGAGGGGATCAGACTAGTTGAGCCCAGAGTTTGGGGCATGCCCAAGGCTTGGTGCTACCCCCTACACCCCATCTTCCCCTGACCACACAGACGTCATAGTGCCTCTGTTGTGATGCCTGTGTGGTGGGGGCTGTCAACCCTGAGCTGTACCAGCTTGCAGAGGACAACAGTGAAATCTACTTCCCTGATGGCTGCCTGGGCCAGCTCTGGTTCTCCGTGGAGTACCAGCCAGAGGCCGAGAAGCTGCTGGTGGGCCTGATCAAGGCACAGCAGCTGTGAGCTCCCTCAGAGATCTGCAGGCCCCTTGTGAGGCTCCACCTGCTGCCCGATGAATGGTACTTCCCCCAGTCCAGGATCCCAAAGCTTGATGAGCACTTCATCTTCCAGGTAAAGCTCTGGAGCTGTTGGGTGCACAGCACAGCCTGACGGCGTCACCAGGGCCTTGCAACTCTAGACTGAGCAGTATGGGGTTTCTGGCAAGGTTGCCCAAGGAAGACAGGATGTTCTGCTTGGGAAGACCTCCAGGCCCCGTAGAATGACTTGCCACCTTGGGGTGGGTGTGGTCCCTTTGTGCACCTTGGGCTACAAGTGCAAATGCGATCGGGGCCCCTGGCCTGCAGGGGCCTGGGAGTCTGAGCAGGTGATTGGGGCCCTCTGGGGAAGCTGGCATTGAAAGCTGCCAAGAGGCCTTGGACAAACACTTTGTCAAGATCTGTGTCGCAGGCAGGCCTAGGAGGTCAGAAAAGGCCATCAGTTTACAGTAGAATGGGGTTGCTGAGGCCAGAGCCATGCTCCACACCTCCTCGGGGGCTGAAAGGTGGGAAGAGAGTCAGCCTACAGACCCGTCCCCAGCTGTCCTGCTGATACCCAGGGCCAAGGCTTCGGGGATTTACAGGTGAATCTAAGCTTCTTGGGACATCAGGATCAAGCTGAGAGCCTCAAAGCAGACATAGCATGTGCCCACTTTTTTTCTTCACTGACTACATACCCACTGACCCCACCCTGACTTTGTCCTGGCCTTTCTGTGCTTTGAGGGGGAAGGGGAGAAAAGGAGAAAGAGCTAGAGAAGAAAGTCAGTGTCTTAATTAATTTTTTTGTTACTGAGACAAAATACCTGATGCTCACAAGTTAAAGGAGGAAAGGTTTATTTCAGCTCATAATTTGTAGAGGTTTCAGTCCATAGTCAGCTGGCTCCAAAGTAGGATGGCTTGACAGAAGAGAATAGAGGAAGAGAAACAGTCCATGGCAGGGCAGGCAGGAAGCTGCAACAGCAAGCAGCAAGCAGCAGCAAGACTGCCTTCTGTCCCTTTTATCCCGAACAAGCTTACAAATATTTTGGATGGTGCCACTCACATCTGGGGTAGAGCTTCTTTCTTCAGTAAATCCATTCAACTACACCCAGAACTAGCTAATTCCAATCAGTAGACTAATTTAGTACCACACACCCTTAATCCCAGTATCACAGACCCTATACCAAGCCAGCTCTGAAAAGCTCAATCTATGAGTGCATGAGGCTTTGGGCAGACATCTACATACAGCCATAATTGCCAGTGTGACTCGTCCTTTGCTGTAACCCAGATGCTGTGATTAGGCTTTTACAATCCAGAAAGGAGGACACTAACCTGAGGGCAGATCCCTTGGAAGTTCTACTTATTCCAGGGCAGAGGAATAAGTAAAACTTATTCCCAAATTCCCAGGCAAAAGCAGCACACTGGGTGACAAGGCTCTGTCACTTCCCCAGGGGCTGCTGCCCCACTGCTAGAAGGGTCCCTAGAACATGATTGGGTTGGGATGTGTAGGTCCCTGGTCAAGATACACCTTCCCCAAAGTGTCTGTGCCCAGGGGGTCACCCCATCCTGCACCTGTCCTACACCTGACCCTGCCAAATCTCCCCCAGGTGTCAGGCAAGAGCATCACCCAGAGGGTGCTGTGGTTCTCAGTGTACCACGTGGACAGGCAGAGGAGGCACCAGCTGCTGGACCAGGTGCTGTTCCCCTTGAGGAGTGAGACCCTGGCAGGTAACATTCACCACATCATTTGGAGAGACCTGGAGCCCAAGAGCCTGGAGGTAAGGTGAAGGCCACCAGATATGTACCGCCAAGGGTCAGTACTGTGTGGGCAGCTGGCAGGTGTGCTCTGGACCCAGGAGCACCTGCTGGCCAGCATTAGCACACTGCACACCACACTCCAAGAGTGACCCGGGCAGATGGCCCAGCCCCAAGCTGCAGGGCACAAGTCAGGGTGGACCAGCTCCCAGGCAGGCCCTTTGCACTGGCCATCACATTATTTGTAACATTCTGGAAAATGCATATTTTCCAGGTTCCCACACCTGTGCAAAGTGAACCCACACACACACTGACCCAGTAAACCTACCCTTCCTCCAGCCCCAGGAGGCACCCAGGGGGCTCCAGTAGGTTTTGGAATTCCACAGGCCTGGGTGGGAATATCCCACTCTGGTCCACACTGCAGGCTAAGAATCATTTATCCAAAATGCTTGGGACCAGAAAGATTTCAGATTTGAGATTTTTTCAGATTTTACAGTATTTGCAAGTACATAATGGAATATGTTGGGGATGGAACTAAAGTCTAATAAAATTCGTCTGTTTCATCTGTACTTTATACACTTACATGCAATGTTTATTGAATTTGGTGTGGAATTTTCCATTTGGCACTCAAAAAGTTGTAGACATCGGTGCTGCTTGGATTTCTGGTTTTCAGATTAGGGACGCTCAGCCTGTGCTGCACAAGTCCCTTTGGCTCTCTAGACCTCAGTTTCCCCATCTGTAATACCAGAATCAAAGGGGACCATGTGGCTGTGTCATGTGCACCTGTGTGTGACAGCTCAGAGCAGGGAAGAAGGGAGGCGTCCTGTGACCCCACCACTCCTGTCAGCACCTCTGTCTTGTTGTCCCCAGCCTCTCTCAGAGTCTGGTGACCTGCAGTTCTGCCTGAGCTACAACAATTGCCTAAGCTGCCTTACAGTCGTGGTGCTGCGTGCCAGGGGTCTGTAGCTCCAAGAAGACAGAAGCATTGCCAGTGAGTCCTCTCCCTCCTCCTGGGGAAGGTCTTGCCTCATCCAGCTCCACATGGTGATGTGCTGCAGCCTTCCGGGTCACCTTGGTGAACAGCATTTAGCTCGTGGGGCTCCCACTCTGAGGAAGAAATGATGAACGTGGGCACAGTGTTCCCAGACTGAAAATTTGTAACATCAGCAACACCAGTGTGATTGTTGGATTGTGGCCCATATAACATCCATGAAGACAACATCTCCTGCAGCCCTCAGATGACAGTCATTGTGTGCCCTGTCACTGTCACAGGCTCTGTCCTCTCTCCCCCTAGACAGTGGTACTTTTGGCCCATGCATCATTGCTGCATCACTAGAACAGAACCAGAACTAGAACCAGCATCCCTTTTTTCTTATGCAGTCCAGCAACTCCATACAAGAAGTAGTGACCATTATGTGGGGTTGTGTCTCTTTATTTCACTTTTGATCTCTGTCAGTGCACAAATACAAGCTTTGCCTGGCATGGGTCTGTATGGACAGACTGTCTTTGCTTTTTCTCACTCATTTCTCTTGCATACTTTCAATTCAATCCACACCTCAATCGATTCTGATAGCTTCATAGCATACACGTCATAGTTTTCTACATGTCTGTGGAGCGAGTCCTAAAGTGGAACTGTTTCTATTTCATCTGGGGACCCTGTAGCTGCCAACCACCACCTCATTTCTTCCAGGTGAGGCTCCTGACTAGCAGTGGCCATTCTAGGGACACTGGGGAAGATGCTAAGTGTCCTCTTTGCAGAACAGAAAGGACTGATGTCTCTAACTCCTCCCTGAAAAATCTACATGACAAAAGATGAGCAGATTCTTTGCTCTGATGTGGAGGATAAACAGGCTGCTATATGAGGCTACACTAAGGCCAGGGCAATAAATACATGGACCAGGACTGCCTGGGTCATCTCAAATCTTGTCAGCATATGACCCAGTAGAAAGAGCCCTTTGCACCTCCAAAAAACATTTAGCATAAGCTGATCAATTTCCACTCCAAAAAAGTACTAGAATTTGACTGAATTTCATTAACTACAGTGGACCCTTGACTTAGGAACCCAATTTGTTCCTGAGGGCTGGTTGTAACTCAAGTTGTTAATGGAAGGCTCAAGCTCCTCTATACAGCCTTCAAAGTCTCTCTCCTATATACAGGCAGATCTCAGTGTCCTTAGAGACACACTGACCCATGATTTCTTTTTTTTTTTTTTTTTAAAGATAAAAGGAGGGAAACA